GGAGAGAAAAAAATGTGAAGGAAAAACCGGAAAACGAAAGAAAAGGAAGTGCGTGAAGCCGTGAAGCCCTGGAGACCATGCACGATTTGAGTTCCTCGCGCGTACACGCTATCTCGTAATATGGCTGGTGGTAATCAAACTCCTGTCATTGATCAGCTAGATGAAGATTAAGCTAGCTAGGTAACACTGCTAAGTGCTAATCCATGACAGACAGATGGGTGGCCTGTAGTCAAAGAGATCATCTTCACATTAGACGCGCATAATTACACATTTGAGTTGAGATGGAAACGAAAGATGAAAGGATTTGACGTGGGAAATTAAAACGCCTATATTTTTAAACATGAAACCGCGATGGAAAAATAAAAAACATATATATGCATTCGTCATGCCTAAAGCAAATATTAATATGTATAATAAACATCAAAATTTCGCTTTTCTTTAATGTTTTGTAATGCGCGATGAGTTGCAAAAGCGTGCAGATGACTGTGTGGATTACGTTGAAACGTGAGAGATATACATGAATTGGGAGTGGATTACGTTGAATCATACGTATCATCCGATCCTGCATGCGTTGACTAGGTTCCAACGAATCATCTACCAACACATGCACAATTCGTGGACCGAATTTTGCAGTGCAAATCGCGTCACATGCGAGTATGCAAAGATGCTCTAAAACAATACAATTTCGGAAGATTTGATATATATATATATATATATATATATATATATATATATATATATATATATATATATATATATATATATATATATATATATATATATTGACGTAAAACAGTAGGCTCCTACTGCATTATATATTAATAATAGAATAATTTACAAAGTGGAAAAGGGGGAATGCAGATGTTACAGAGGGACAACAGAGAAAGAGGGATAATAGAAACAGGATTTGATATATTCCACCACCGTTCGCTGCATACAGATGAGTGCCATTACGCATCAGAGGGGCCCAGTTAAAGAGGAAAGACATAATGGCATATGTGTAAACAGGGTTGGAGGCAGACCTAAGTCAGCTAGGATTTAAGCCCTAGGCCTGCTTGTTTAAATTCTATTAATTCACCATGTATTTTTTTCTAAAAAAAAAACTAATACTTCATTAGTTAAGTCTTATCTTAGCTCTACTCTTTTATTATTTCTGACTTGTGTCACTGGGTATAAATAGTATTGTTATGTTGGAACACGTTATAATGTACTCCCTCTATTCCCTCCATTTCAAAATAGGAAAAAAAAATCAAAATATCCCTCTAAATCTTAGATAGAAGTCCGTCTAGCAGCCTGTACTTTAAAACCGGACATTCAACCCCCCTTGAACTTTGCAAAACCACTCATATTATCTCCTAAGGTGGTTTTGTATAATGGGTTTTATCTAATTTGTATATAACTTAGATGAGTTTAACCATGTGACATACGCATTGGACATATACATATATTAAAATCTCCACTTAAATCTTTCTTTTTTTTATCACTTGTTAGCTCTGACTAACAAACAACTACCAATACAATAATCACATGGTATCACTGTACAAGTATAAATTGATGACTTACATTGATGATATGCAAATATGTTATGTTGGTTATTGAAAGTTGTTCGTTTAAGCTTCTAAAATATGCAAAACCACCATCCAAAACCACTTCAGGGGGCAATATATATGAACGGTTTTACAAAGTTTAAGGGGTTAGATATCCGGCTTTAAAGTTTGGGGTGCTAGATGAACTTTCATCCAAATTTTAGTTGGGTATTTGGACATTTTCCTTTCAAAAGGTTGCATTTTGTTTTTTTACAACACTTTGATCAACATTATTCTATTATAATATAAATTTTTGAAGCAAAATTGATGTTATTAGATACGCCTCCAAAAGTACTTTCATGTGAATATTCTTATGTGCCACATAAATAATATACTAGGGAAGGTAAAAACTATATTAAAAATTACGCCCTACATTTCAAACTAGAGGGAGTAGGTACCATAGTATTTTTTTTAAGTGTTTTTACCACTCGTTCACATTAAATTCATTGTTTTCACCTAGGCCTACCACTTGGCCATGACATTTTTGCCCCTCAACACCCGAGGTTAAATAAGCACTTCTTTTCTCCAGCCAATTCCCTAAAAATGCGCTAAACCCCTTTCTCTCTCCTATATGATCACAAAAGGAGCCATTTTATTGCGCCACGTTACAAAAGACTGTAGTAGCTAGTCAAACATATATTAAGCAGAAGCAGGGGCGGATCCAGGAACAAAAAATTGGGGGACTCAATTACACAATTTCTTCAACCTCTAGCCATATAGAGACCTTTAGTTTATCATTTATAGTGAAAAAATCGAAGGGGGTGCTCCGGGGGTACCCACGTTGGATCCGCCCCTAAGCAGAAGATTAAAAACCTATGTCAAAGGCGGCGGGCATTGCGCGATAGATCAGAGTCAAGTGAACCAAGTGTTCACAGTGATGGGGTTTATGGCTGCGATCCTATTGCTTCCCCGCTAAAAAACTCAAATAACTCTTATTTTCCTAGGTTTGGACCTCCTGTAGGATAACAACCCTACTCTTAGTCTTTTTATAGATCGGGTGGTGATTGTATACACCTGAGAGTTTGACGATGATTTTTTCTAACCACCCATTTTGGAGAACCCCCGATCCATTATGTAATACTAATGGGGACAAAACTGTGTAAAATCAAAGGTGTTTTTGATTATTATTCTGTGATGAACAATTGGTATTGGAGATTATTGGTTTTGTTATTTGGAATTTATTCACGAAGTGGTTTTGGAGATGATTGGATTTACAGGTGAATCGCAGGTTCATTATTTTATGTGACCGGTCAGACCGGGCAGCGTGTGCCGGTCAGACCGGCGGTGATTGAGCGGTCAAACCGGCCAGCCCGCGGTCTGACCGGTCGACGCTGTGTCGGTTTCGGTTTTGGGTTGTTTATTTAGATATCCGTGATTATTTCATGATTATGACTTCTAGATGGATACTATACGTATGTAATACTGTTATTTGCTACTAATGAGTCAAGTTGGAGATAGTTTGGTCTCGGAATATGGTTTATTTATTTATTTCATGTGTAGGTGACTTGATGCCTCGGGAGAGTATTTGCGGTGATGGACCGGGAGTCAACTTAGGGATAAGACGACGTCCGTGGTGGTCAGAGATCATGCGGGATACTTAGGCTAGAGTTGATGCACGTGGTTGATGGAGATTCCATATGGTATACGATGGAGGTATTGTGTGCATATGGGATGCGGAGTCGAATTTGGAAGGAGTCCAAATTTGGTACGATTGGTTATGTAAAGTTTGTTTCTTGTACTAGAGGGTTTCATAAGGTATTTAGGACTCCTAGTATGAGTTTGGTTCGTGGCTTTAGGCTGCCTACCTCATGTATAAATAGAGGGGGAGCGTGAGGCTTCTCGATATCGCTTTAGAGAGCAATTGAGTTGAGTTTTGAGTTAGGGTTTCGAGTTTAGTCGAAATTTTTATAAGGAGTGTTGTTGGTGCACTCTGTAAACACAGAGAGAAGTAATAAAGTCGTCATCCACTTTAAGAGTTCTTCGATTTGTGTTTCACCGGGTTTCAGCGGTCTAACTGGCGATATACCGGCGGTCAGACTGGCGGCAAGCGGCGGTTAGACCGGCGGCATACGGGCGGTCAGACCGGCGGCGGCAGCAGGCGCGGTAGGCATCTCGACGGTTCGACCGATTGATCTACATCAGTCAGACCGATGTTCATTAGGCGGTCAGACCGGTGCATACACTTCGGTCAGACCGCGATCCGTCGAATTCGAGGGTAACTTTTATTTCCGCTAAAAGTTTTCGGTTTTTGGGTATACCAACCATTCACCCCCTATGGTTAGCTTAGTTCTTGTGATTTGATCGTACAAACTGGGGGTATTACGCAAGTAATCATGACTACCTAAACTATAGTTGTCGCACTATCTTGTCAGACCGTCTATTTATTTATAGTAGTAGAGTCAAATATTATCCATCTCTTCTAAAGCCAATTTTTGGAAAGATGATACATCTAAATCCAAAAAATTAACTTAATCGATTACACTTGCACTATAATCCTTTTGACACTAGGCTGACATGGCACTATACATTATTTTACTGTCGACATTAGACAACCCAGAAGTGTGCTCATATTTTTGGTACTTCCTATGTTTCACAATGTAAGATTTTCTAGCATTGCCCACATTCATTTAGATGTTAATGAATCTAGATATATGTATGTGTTTAGATTCATTAACATCCATATGTATGTGTGCAATACTAGAAAGTCTTACATTGTGAAACGGAGGGAATAATTGGAGAATGATTTAGAATCTAAACTCAAAAGACCAACTTTGGAAGGTGTAGAGGCAATTTGTTAGGCTTTGTGGCTTAGTAGGAATAACATAGTTTTTAACAGCTACAATCATATTTCTTTCTTAAAGGTGATATTCAAGACAACTCATTGGACAAGGTTTTGGTCTTTGCTTCTTAAAAATGTTGAAGGAGAGGAAGTACACATCAAGTGCAGGATTCTGAAGAAGCGAGTTATGGATTTTTTTCGAAGAATTGAATCTTAGCCTTTATTCCTCTTTCATCGGTTGTTAAACTTTTATTTGTATGTTCCTATGTAATGGGAGAAGTCTTGTGTACTCGTGACTAGGGTTTTGGCTGTATGCACCGCACAATGTGTAGAGGACGGGTTTAATATAATCCATTATCTAAAAAAAATTAGACATGTATGCATGCCTAGCCGTATCTCAGAAGAATACACGCTGAACCCACGTTGGCCAGCAGCTGCGTCTCACGCACGATGGCCATTTCTCTGTAACGCAAATCGTGCGTTACGTACGACCAATCGATATGAGTGCGAGCTTACACGACCATGCACACACAATTTGATCAATATTTCCTTTTAAAAACTCGTATGCCGGGATTAATTCTAAATGCACGTACTAGCTCTGCAGTTCGAGGCACCCCCCTATATATACCTAAGCTATCCAGCTCTAGCTACTTCGCGATTAGCTATAGCCATCCATCGATCGATCAGGACACCACTGATTAAGCCATGGCAAAGCTTGCCCTGTGCTTCTGCGTCGTCCTCGTCCTCGTCCTCGTCCTCGCTTCCTCGCCGGCGCCGCTCTCCGATGATCGCCGCGCCGCCGGCCTGCTCGGCCGCCGCGGCCTGCAGCAGGACGCCATTGTCGTCGACGGCAGCCCGACGGCGGCGGCCACCGCCACCACGACGACGACGACGGCGTGGCCCCGGCCGGACACGCCGCCGGATAACTGGTACGACGGGACGAAGAGGCTCAGCCCTGGTGGCCCTAATCCACAGCACCACTGATGAACACATCCATCCACGCATGAATTTTGTTGACAGTGATCATATATATCACCACTGTCAGTTAATTACTTCTACCACACCATTCTCTCCACATGATTTTGCATCGCTAATTTTAATTTTATAGCACCGGCGAAGTACCAGATCGGAGTTTAATTTCTCGATCGATGTGCGTGTGTGTGTGTTTCCGAGTTAATAAACCTACTATATAGGCAGACCGATATTTCTGCAGACAGGGACTAAAGATGGGCGTCCCAAGAGTGACAGATGTTGATTTAGCACTTGATAGAAGTGTGATCACTGAAAGGAATAAACGAGAGCTATGTATGATCAGTTCGAACTGATCAGTAATTTTTCCTCAATGTTCGTGAATTATGTTCTCTTTCTTTTTTATATGGAAATAATTAAATCCTATACACAACAAGATGCAGTCAGCCTCAATATGTGATGACATGCACTGAAACTTTTAGTTATTCATGTTTGTGATGACATGCAATAAATTTTATGCCAATCAGCCTAATTAATGAGTCTTCTTGCAATTGAATTTTGAGATGTGCCGTGTTGAACGTACTCTTAATTTGGAGATCTGAGCTGAGTGGTAATTATAATAGTCAAATATAGTTTTTTGTTTCTAGTCGCTATAGCTTACATGTTCTTGGAGTTCCTTTTTAAGCGAGAAAGTGGAATGTTTGTTTGATCCATAGGACCACCAAGGATATGAAATTATGCATGCTTTTTAACTTTTAATCGTCTTATGATCCGGGAAAGAAACAGCACCTCTGTCCTCTTGTTCTTTCCATTCAAAAGAAAATATAAAACAATAGAGTTTGAACACTCTGTGTCATATGCCTCAAATCGGATTAAGAAAGGCATGAGCAATGGAGACCACAAATAAATACTCCCTCTATTTCAAAATATAAGACACAACTACTTTTCTTAGATGTTTCATAATATAAAAAGTGCATACATGCATGTAATTAACTAGCATCTTTTCTCCACCAATTATTATCTTGAACTCTTTCACTCTCAAAATCTCTAATTCTATTGGATGCATGCATTATATTTCTTAAGATGATTTCAAACGAAGAGGTGATAATAATTGTTTCTTAGTCTTTGGTTTAATGATGGTTATGCCTTATTTTGGAGTGAGTAGTGATCTCATTATGTCATGTGGACTAAGACCACACATAAGTTATGGGCTTCCCAATGCTGAGTGGTTTGAAGTGGGCCTATTCAATCCAAAGCAAACCATGGTCCACTGAGCCCATGAAACCACTGGCACCTGGCGGGATTATCCACTCAATTTGATGGACTCTCGTGAAGTCGCGAGTCTCCACTCGGTCGTAGCCATCACCTCCTCCCCCATTGTTGGTATTACTTAACTTTATAGATAAAATTTGCAAGTGAACGGAAAATACCGATGTAGCACTTCACCCGGGAGTATTCTCAGGTATCGATTTCCACAGGAAACGTGTGTGTCAGCTCTTCTCCAGGTTCATCCAAGGACACAAAGCTAAGATAGGCAAAGGGTAGAGAGGATTCACTGGTCGCTTTACTACGTACTCAGATAGGGAGGACTTAGTGGTCTTACCTCTACACCTACCTCACACCTACTGTGGGATGCGGAGCAAAGACCAATCAACTATCTACTACGTACCCAGATAGGGAGGACTTAGTGATCTTACCTCTTCACCCACCTCACACCTTCTGTGGGATACGGAGCAAACACCAGAAATCAACTATCTACTACGTATTTGGACAGGGAGGACTTAGTGATCTTACTTCTACACCCACCTCACACCTACTATGGGATACAGAGCAAACACCGCCTACTGTGGGATACGGAGCAAACACCGGAAATCAACTATCTACTACGTATCCGGACAGGGAGGACTTAGTGATCCTACCTCTACACCCAAATCAACCCTTCTGTGGGATACGGAGCAAACACCAGAAATTAACTATCTACTACGTATCCGGACATGGAGGATCTTAATGATCTTACATCTACACCCAAATCAACTATCTACTACGTACCCAGACAAGGAGGACTTAGTCAAATCAACTATCTACTACGTACCTGGACAAGGAGGACTTAGTGATCTTGAGAGCTGTCACCAGGTCTACACCCACCTCACGCCTACTGTGGGATACGAAGCAAACACCGGAAACCTCTACACCCAAATCAACTATCTACTACGTACCCGGACAAGAAGGACTTAGCCAAATCAAGTATACACCTACTGTGGGATACGAAGCAAACACCGGAAACCTCTACACCCAAATCAACTATCTACTACGTACCTGGACAAGGAGGACTTAGTCACCTCACACCGGAAACCTCTACACCCAAATCAACTATCTACTACGTACCCGGACAAGGAGGACTTAGTCACCTCACACCTACTGTGGGATACGAAGCAAACACCGGAAACCTCTACACCCAAATCAACTATCTACTACATACCCGGACAAGGAGGACTTAGTCAAACCTCTACACCCAAATCAACTATCTACTACGTACCCGGACAAGGAGAACTTAGTCAAATCAACTATACACCTACTGTGTGGGATACCAAGCAAACACCGGAAACTGGGATACCAAGCAAACACCGGAAACCTCTACACCCAAATCAACGGACAAGGAGGACTTAGTCAAATCAACTATACACCTACTGTGTGGGATACCAAGCAAACACCGGAAACTGGGATACCAAGCAAACACCGGAAACCTCTACACCCAAATCAACTATCTACTATGTACCCGGACAACCTCTACACCCAAATCAACGGACAAGGAGGACTTAGTCAAATCAACTATACACCTACTGTGTAGGATACCAAGCAAACACCGGAAACTGGGATACCAAGCAAACACCGGAAATCTCTACACCCAAATCAACTATCTACTATGTACCCGGACAAGGAGGACTTAGTCAAATCAACTATACACCTACTGTGGGATACGAAGCAAACATCCAACTATCTACTACGTACCCGGACAAGGAAACCTCTACACCCAAATCAACTATACACCTACTGTGGGATACGAAGCAAACATCGGAAACCTGTACACCCAAATCAACTATCTACTACATACCTGGACAAGGAGGACTTAGTCAAATCAACTGGACTTAGTCAAATCAACTATCTACCTGGACAAGGAGGACTTAGTCAAATCAACTATCTCTACACCCAAATCAACTGGACACCTACTGTGGGATACGAAGCAAACATCCAACTATCTACTACGTACCCGGACAAGGAAACCTCTACACCCAAATCAACTATACACCTACTGTGGGATACGAAGCAAACATCGGAAACCTGTACACCCAAATCAACTATCTACTACATACCTGGACAAGGAGGACTTAGTCAAATCAACTGGACTTAGTCAAATCAACTATCTACCTGGACAAGGAGGACTTAGTCAAATCAACTATCTCTACACCCAAATCAACTGGACTTAGTCAAATCAACTACCAGACAAGGATACGTACCCGGACAAGGAGGACTTAGTCAAATCAAATCAACTATCTACTACGTACCCGGACAAGGAGGACTTAGTCAAATCATCTATCTACTACGTACCCGGACAAGGAGGACTTACTCACACAAGCCCCAGCCATGCGCGATACCATTCTGTAACGTCCCGCCTAGGAGGACTTACTCACACAAGCCCCAGCCATGCGCGATACCATTCTGTAACGTCCCGCCTCTCCTAGGTCGGGCCCACTTACGCCTCTCCCAGATCAGGCCCACTTACATCTGTAACGTCCCGCCTAGGAGGACTTACTCACACAAGCCCCAGCCATGCGCGATACCATTCTGTAACGTCCCGACCTGGACAAGGAGGACTTAGTCAAATCAACTATCTCTACACCCAAATCAACTGGACTTAGTCAAATCAACTATCTACCAGACAAGGATACGTACCCGGACAAGGAGGACTTAGTCAAATCAAATCAACTATCTACTACGTACCCGGACAAGGAGGACTTAGTCAAATCATCTATCTACTACGTACCCGGACAAGGAGGACTTACTCACACAAGCCCCAGCCATGCGCGATACCATTCTGTAACGTCCCGCCTAGGAGGACTTACTCACACAAGCCCCAGCCATGCGCGATACCATTCTGTAACGTCCCGCCTCTCCTAGGTCGGGCCCACTTACGCCTCTCCCAGATCAGGCCCACTTACATCTGTAACGTCCCGCCTAGGAGGACTTACTCACACAAGCCCCAGCCATGCGCGATACCATTCTGTAACGTCCCGCCTCTCCTAGGTCGGGCCCACTTACGCCTCTCCCAGATCAGGCCCACTTACATCTGTCGTGCTTTTATAGGTCTTTTCTGCACACTTTGTCCTCACCCATGCGCACCCGGGAAGAATTTCCCGATCAGTCACCCATCCCTAAATTGCTCTAGGCCAAGCACGCTTAACCTCCGAGTTCTTTGGAATTTGGCTTTCGGAAAATAAGTTGCAACTTGTTGAGACGGGTATTCTATTAATCCTATTAAGTCCTGGGACGGGATGTCACATATATTCAATTAAAGCAGAGTAATTAACAAGATACAAAAAGTAAGAGGAGATTACCGACAACTCCGGAATTCCTCCGATTTCTTCTACCTTACTCTCTCCCAATTCTAATATACAATAAAGTACACTAGAGCCTCTTGTAATTCATGTCATGCTTCAAGTGTGTGTTTACAAGTGAGAATGAGAGGGGTATTTATAGGTAGAGAAGTGCCTTGGGAGTGTAGAGATGCTCCAAGCATCCAAAGAGCATCTTCTCTTATGTCATGCCAAGTGTCCCTTCTGATGACGGTTGGAGCACTGGAAACGGTCATAACCGTCATGGGGAGGTTGATCTCTACCGAACTCAACTTGGGCCTGGGCCAGCGGCCTCTGTCAGGGTTCGGCCAAACCCTGGCCAGCTCTGTTGGCCCCGGTTTTCGGCCTGGACACTCATTTTGGGCCCCTCATTCTATTGGTCAAGATGGAAGGCCCATTTGGAGGTGTTTAATTGGGTTTCTGGGTCCAAAATTTCATAAGTTTGGATACGCGTTTGATTCTCCTGCTCCTTCGTGTATATTTCTTGTCAACTTAGGTAGTTTGTCACCTGCATAAGAATATGTACTAACACTCGTGGAAATTATTAGAAGTAAACCTTACCACTATGTTGGATGTTCTACATTTATGGCTTTATGCAGGTATTGACGGTGTTAATTTGGTACTTAACAGTCGTCAACACCCATCCCTCCACTGAAGTCATCTTTGTCCCAATCGTCTCCTCCCATTTCCTGACACTGAAGCCTGATCAATCTCCGTCACCATCGTTTCCTGCCTAATCACCACTAGAGCCGATATTGGAGCCACCGCCTTTCTCATTCTTGCCGTCCGATTGGTGTCAGAAACGTCTTCTTCCTCATCTTTGCTATTGGATTGGAGCTGGAGCTGGAGG